CACAATGTAAATGTGAATACGTTTAGTATATGTAAACACAGGACCCTTTTTTTAGGAAAAAAAGTCCTGCAGAGAAATGAGGAGGGAAAAAATATCCTGCAGAGCATTTAGAAGGGAAAAAAATATCCTGCCCACCAGATTGCTAGAAAAAAAAATTCTTGATGACCAGAAATCACCCACATCCCCGCCACCCCCTCAAGAGTTAAATGGTCGGCCCCTAACAACAAACTTTTTATCTGTTCATCACTATCTTTTATCACACTGTCTAAAAATTCTTTGCGCTTGGCCTCAGTTTCCTCTAATTGTTTTCGCTCATCTACGATTTCGCTTGATTTCACGCTAGCGGTTAATTCTTGTACAGATAAAAGCGTTAATCGGTAGGCACTGAATAAAGATCTTGCTTCCTTGATCCCACTTCGAATTTCTTCAACAGACTGTTTTGGCGACTGTACAATTTCTATTTGATCTAAACACTTCTTCCACCGGATTTGGATGTTACTAGGGACCTTAAGATACGAGGACGGGGAGCTAGGACGGCGACGGGGGTGGATGGGGAAGACTAGGTCGAGCCCCGTCGTGCACGCCAAAAACAAAATACTTAAGATCAAGCAATTTTCACTTAGGACGGCAACGGCGATATTTCTTTCACAAACAAATATGTCGACCTTTAAAGACGCTAGGACCGTTCTTCTGGAGAGCTACTTAGAAGGTGTGATAGACGACGATAAATTTATTCTACTATGCGATGAAACCTTGAAGAAGCCGAAATTTCCATATGAATTTTTTTTTATTTTTACTTGAAATAATGACATCAAAATACAAAAATACAGAAACAACACACTAAACTCCTCTAGTGCCACCTGTTTTTTTTTTCCTCTTTTTTCGATTTGGTCTTCAGTTCTCTCGCGAGAAGGTTGTAGCGATCTCGAACTGCCCTTTTGTCAACAGTGAAATAAACAGCTTCAATTTGGTTCAAGTTTTCAGCGACCTCTTTTCTTTTCTTTCTCTCGCAACAGTGCTCTTTTTTGTTCCAGTGATTTCCCGGCACAACATTTCATCGTGAAGAAAACTCCATACCACCAGCTTCCTAAAAATATTAGAATCCAATTCAGGCGTATAAATCTTTAGTTAAAAAATGAAATTGCTTTTCAAATGAGCAAAAGGTAAACACCGGCGGACTGTCAGGAGGTACAAGTCAAAGAAACCCTCACTGAACCTTTTTTTACTCGATTATTACTCCACTGTAACTGGATCTATTTTAATTTCACTTACACTGATTTACTTTTCTTCACTGGGCACTCAGGAACATTCATGGTCGCGACTGCAAAACACACAAACAATGATGAACATAAACTATGGCCTTTTTTCTAATTTCGAAATATTTCCGGCAAAAATCGTGAAGAATATGATCTTAAGAAACACCAGGGCCAGAATATCTGAAAAGGGAATCGATATCGCCTTATTGTAGGTAAAAACAAGCCGAGAATACTCACGTTTTCGAGACGACGGCAAAACAGGCTGAATGGCGTCCTCGGCGAGACCAGGACGGCAAGAACACGAGTTTTGGCTTCGTGTGCGCATGCCTCGTTGCGCAAATTTACTTCCGGTAGCCGTCGTAGCTTGTCCCGTCCTCGTATCTTAAGGTCCCTACTAAAACGGGGAACGGGGAGCGGGGAGCGGGGAACGGGTAACGGAAGTCTGGGAACGAGTTGTCAGCAGTAACCTCCACAAAAATCCAAAATGGCGGTCCAAAACAACGAGAGAGAGAAAGAAGAAGACAAAGAAAGGAATTCGTGCCTTGGTTGAAATCAGGTGGGGGCGAAATTGCAAATCAGACTCATTTTACGTTTACGTTTTGAGCAGGTGGTATGTTTTTCGATATTCAACCTGTTTCATTTACAATATGATAAGGTCTTAGGTCTTAAGCTTAGTTTTCGAGACACCTGGCACACTCGCGTTACTCCTGGATTACTCCGTTTACTTTAGACCGTCGCTTAATCCTGCCTGTTTATCCCCCTGAATGTTCTTTTTCCCACTCAGACAAACTCTTTGAGAGTAAAGGTTTTATCCAAGCCCATTAAATGCCCTGTTTTGAGAATGCTTGGTAAATAACTCGCAGGCATTGCAATGAGAAATAAACGTGGAATTTATTAATGCATGTACATATAGTGTTCTCGCGTTCTGTGCTTGAGTCAAACTTTGTACAGCTATTAGTATTTAAAACTAACGGCTAAAACTTGTTTTTTACAATTTTTTTATAACTGGGAAAGCTTGTTGTTGTTGTTAGTGTTATATTAAAGTGGCATTGAGTGATGAGTTATGAATCTTTTAAAGTCAGGGTTTGGCATTGAAAGCAGGGTAAAGCACTGACTTCAAGAAGGTGGTGGACAAAACACTGACCCCCATTCCATGAACTACCCCCAATGACTACCCTAAAATGGACTATGCTACTGAAGTTAAGTGATTAGGGTTAGGAAACTGAGTGAATCAGGTTCCATTTAGGGTCCTTATACTGGGAAAACTGACCTAAAACCTCATTCACTCAGTTTGCTAACCCTAATCACTAAACTTCAGCGGTGTAGTCCATTTTAGGGTATGTCCATGAAGTGTGGGTCAGTGTTTTGTCCACCACCCTTCAAGAAGTGTTTATTCAGGTTTGTCACTATATTTACTGTATGTACCAGTATTTGTTTAAAGCAGATAGTAGGAGTTAATCCGAGGTATTTGAAGTTTTTCACTTGACTCATGACTCATCGACTCAATTATTTAATTGCCTCTATAATTTCAACTCCTTGACCCATAACGAGGCCTAATTTTAAACCGGCATTTTCTTGGCCTTTACTAGAAACGCCAAAGCTCATTTAGTGCATGTTTTTTTCTAATATAAACACAACAAATTGTACTGTCAGTCCTCTACCATACCCCCTCCTGAATGCTTAGGCCAATATTACATGGCACAAGGCTAAAGAGAGTGAGAGACATACCAGAAATGCCGCACTGACTACTGCCAACATATGGCATGATTTGTACCAATACCTTTTTGTGCCAAGGAAGTGGTACATTCATGGTTGTCTTGTTGTAGTGCTCTAAGGAGAGGGAGGCTGAATAGAGGATTTACAGGAAAAGGTCTAAAGGGAATTTTTGCCAGTTCACTCTCTATGGAGATGAAAGGGTTTGAGGCAATTATTCAGTTTTCCCCTTATAACCTAGTTATGGTCAAAAGATACAAGTATCAAAATCAATTTGAAATGTCATTCTGAATATAAAATGGGTGTAAAAGCAAATTCTAATCATTTTTTTAAAGATACTCCTTTGTTGTGAAGGATTTTGGTAGAGATCTCTTGACTATCACAATTTGCTGGCATAGGGTTCTATTATCAACCCGTTATCGCTTGATATAAAGGAATGAACTGGCCCCCTTTTTGCTAAAGAGTAATGTATATGAAGGGAACTATACAATATCATAAAAGTATTTAGGCGGCCACTTACGAATTTAAACTGTTTCAGACATGTTAGTTTATAACTAACCCATTTGGTTAACTCGACGTAATGATCCTAGTCATACCTACTCGTACCTTAACCCTCTAAGCTTCATTATCCACATACAAATAACATTGTCCACACTTATCTCTACATTTCCTTAAAGATTTAGATGACAGAATTTGGTTGAAGATTAAAGCATTTTCCCGTTGGTGATTATTTCATTACTTGTCATAAACATTCCTCTGGATAATGTATTGATATTGTTTCAAGAAAATTGATTTCAGTCGATCATGTGACTTGAAGAGTTAAATTTTCTTTTACTTTGATCTTTGATATGTTGTTAAAACAACCTCATCTAAGGCAATAACATGGTATAATCTGGATAAGCAATTAGCATATCCCATTTCTTTTGGCTGATTTTAAAACTTAGCCTTGGACTCTTTCATTCTAAAGTAAACTAAGAAAATGTGATGATTTTATAATGTAAACTACACTCACAAAACGTGTTGAAAAGCACTGTATACAATAGTGAATATGCATCACTAAAACCAAGCACAACTAAATCATAATTATTTTCACGGCGCCTTCATTTTTTTGGTTTCTCTTTTTTCCTTAATCTGTGCCAGTACATGCCGAATTCTGTATTATTTGGCATGCTTGACACAAACATCTTCTGATCTTTGATAACGTGACATGTTATTGTACCTTACAAGCAGAGGAAAGTGAAAATGGGCCGCAGAGGTGTCATCTAAAGCAGGACATATACTTGTACACCAATACAATTGCAATTTTTCCCACTTTAAGTATCTACCCTAAGAGGCCGACTAGATTTTTCTGTAAGAAAGTAAATTTGAAAGACTGGTCACCTGACGTCCTTTTTGGGCGCGACATTACCCCGTCTTTGGTCTTTGGCGTCTTTCAGATTGCTTATTTTATGATACTTTTGACACATGATCATAGCTACTAACCCTCAATATGTTTAGGTTAATTTTGTTTAATACTTGAACATTTGTAAACGTCACTTCTACTAGGACGGGCCATAGTCAGGAGGATTGAGTGAACCTGTATTGCAATATATCCTTTATAGGTTTTGGCAGTTCAGCTGGAACGACAACATGTGCAAATGAAAAACGTGGAAAGTTTCTTCTAATACAATGGGGGGACATGTGGTAGTAGCGGTTTGATTTCCGTCCAAGTCGCCACTGCATGTTTTGCTTCTCCCAGTACCAGTAAGCCTCAGGTCTAACAAGGATGTAATGGTCATCAGGGGGCGTTGCTGGCAGGAAGCGTTGTTTACAGCCGTAGTATTTTCTTACATTTCCCCAAATCGTTGCCACTTGATATGGGACATTAGGTGAGGGCATAGCTGGCTTGGGTCCCCTCATACCGGTTGCCATGCGGGTATTACCTGTTGCGGGTGTGTGTGGAGATGACATCAGTGATACATTGTTGGGGTTCTGCAAACCGCGGGAGCCATAACTGTGAGTTCCACCCTCTCTTCCACCAGTTGAAGGCATGGCTGTTATCCAAGCATTAACTTTGACCGGTACGTCTAGAGATGATTGAAGTGGCACGTTCATAGGTATATCTACGTTCTCTAAACCTTGGGAACCAAGTGCAGGAGGTTCACATTCAGGTGAAGTGAATGGTGCAGGATTATCGTTCAGAAGTTCCGCCAGAAATGAGAATGGCCCATCAGTGGGGTTACTTGTCGGCTGAGGGAGTGTTGAAACACTCAATCCAGGTCTTGGAACTGGATTTGATGCCAATGACTGCATAGATGAACAAGAGCTACCATGCGCGAGAAGACACACTCAGAAACAGTACGTGCTGGAAGTTGGATGTTACCGATTGATAAAGAAGCACTTGGGGGAGGTGGAGGTAGAGATAACATCTGATGTTGTTGTGGTTGTCGTTGTGACTGCTTAGCACTCACACCAAAGACATTTTCACATGTAATAGTGACATCGCTGTGAGGTGTTGGTCCCTTAAAACGCTTTCGAGGATTGTTTTTCTTCCTTCCCACGTTGGGGTCTTGCTTTCCTGCCATGTTTATGGTGGTAATATTAAGAACCTTGCTCTGTATATAAAAGTTCAGATATTTGGATAGGAGGCCTTGCTTTTCAGCGACTGCTACGGCATGCGAACAAACTCCAAGCGATTTGAAGCCTGGACAGGAACATTTGACAACACCACTGACACTGCTGCTACACTTCACTGTGTGAAAGTTCTCACTGCCACTCTCACTTATGACTAAGAATGTATCACAGTCTTCGGCTTGCTTGCCCGGAAAGAAAGGAGCACATTGAACTGCACCAGGGGAGGAAACTATCTTGGCCACCTTCTCCCATATGTTCCTCAATATGACATCATCAAGAGGAATGTCAAGCATTTCCCAGGAAGCAGACAAAGGACCAACAGGCGCCACATGTCCAATAGCTCTGCTCTCTTCACGTACGTTTCCCTTTGCTTCACCGTCATCTTAAACCACTGATCTACACTTAGGGCAAGGTGCGGATAATTCATTTTGTACTCCCCTCTTCCTGTGATTGCCTTAACAAATTCGTCATCGAAATCAGCCCTTAGCTGCTTCATATCTTCCACAAACTTTGGAAGAGACACCTCTTGGTAGTTCTCTTTGTGCTGAGCAGTGAGTGTACAACTTTTTAGGGGGGGGCACCCTAACCCAGCTGCCGTTCGTACTTTAGGAAGCATCGTTTCTTTAATCATAGTAGTAGTTGTGGCAAACCAGCGGACGAAGGATGGGGACTTTTCCTCCCATTTTGTTCGTACAGATTCAAAAAGAGTGTCAAACATTTCAGAGGACTCTGCGTCAACCAGTCCTTCATGGTAGACGCCATCAAGGTGGTAACCAAATATCTGGTTTGTGATTTCAGTCGCGCTGGAGTCTTCCAGGGCTTTAAGATGGTCTTTGACATTATTGCGGAAATGACTCATACATCTAAGTTTCACAGCAGATGATGGAAATCCCTCTGGGAAGGACTGTTCAAGGGGTTTTTCTCCGTCAGTACCAAATGCGCTCAGTTCTTCCTTCAGACCTGGACAGTTCTTCTGAAAACAGTAGACAAAATCTGTATACACTTCTTTTGTCAAATTATGACTTATCCGAATGGGTCCTATACAAATAGGGTGTTCGCCAGTGCGTTTGGAAACCAACAAAAGGTCTTGATAAGTTACTGGTGTGACACTGTGCTTTCCAATGTTGAATGTGGGATCAACTGTCAATATACTCGACACTAATTCTGATGTGCAGTAGCATTTCAAATTTTGAAATTGTGTACTAGACCCCAATACGATAAATAATGGATCTGGATGTGTTTGGATTGTGGGCATGAATGTAGTTTGACCATCGCACCACCTTTCCTCGTTTGCCATGGCTAGTAGACTTCCAAGAACGTCGTTTGTGCTCGATTGACGAGCACACCCAGCCGTCTGTTGCTTCATATTATAGGCTTGTTTCCGGTTCCTTGGGGTTACTCCGGCACTCTGTGCGTTCATCGTTCCTCCTAACTCTCTTGTGGTTTTTTGAAATGCCTCTTTAGGGAAGTGTTGCTGGAGATTACACTTAAGCTTGTACTTGGTGGATTCATTTGTTCGTAGATACGGGATCTTACTTTTCTGTGAATTTCCATGGCACCTCAACACAAAGGGATGCTCTTCTCCAGTAAAGTTGTACTGTACAAGTGCAAGGTTGCCTAGGATATCCCCAGATGGCGATCGACAAAAAGATATTGTCCTCTTGAAATCGGGGGAAGAAGAACATCTTCTGTACTTTCTTGTCAAATGGAAATAATCTTCCCCCACGACTTTCGTTCTAGAAATTTTGTTGCAACTTTCCAGCAACCCATTTTCGAACTTTAATTGGAACGTCTCAGTCCGAGATCCAAGGTTTTTATATGATCCGTTGTCATCAGCTTCTAAGTCTTCCAAAGCAACTACTCTGAGATCAACGAGAAAAGAGGCATTGATCTGTACACGACAGGGCTGATGTTTGCATAGGACATTTTCCACATGTTCTTTAGCGAGTATTTCAATGACTTTCTCTGCAGAAAATAAAGCCGTGCTTTCTCTGATAAAAATAGGAGCACTTCCACAAAACTCTACCTCATCTGGGTCACTGAAAAAAAATATAAACAATTATTATGCAATGCCAAAATATATATATAAAATAGGCAGTTTTTCAAACTTTCATTTGATGTGAAAGTCATTATTAATAATAATAATAATTCAGAGTTTGAAAAGAAAACCTGTACTTGCCTGTATTTATTTTGTGCAGTACAGGAACGTGGGCTGTCAGGTACTAATTACGTGAAACGTCACATTAATCAGATTGCTGATTTACTGTTGTGTAGGATGTGTGACAAAAGGGGAGAAAGAGTGTCACCTAGTGAGTGTGAAAAGTTGCCCAGAAGAAATAGAAAAAAACAGGATAATGTGGCAAAGACTGCACACATTTCAAGTCATCTGAGTAATACCAGCTGGAACGGAAGGAAAAATGGTATGAACGTGTACCATGGGGTTTTAGAGAATGATCGATGAAGTAAATTAGCTACTTTAGGATTTGATCATGCAATGTGATAACGTTGTTAAAGTAAAAACCCTGACATTTTAGTGCTGATCAAGACGAACGAATGTATCATTGTAGACATTGCTATACTAGGCCAAAGTAAGATACAGGAACAGGAATTTGAAACAACTGACAAATGTCAAGATTTGAAGAGAGTAAATAGAAAAATGTCGGGTGTGCAAAACGTGGACCTTGTACCAGTTGTTTTAGGGACTATTACAAGTCTTACTAAGAAACGTGGACAATGGATTGAAACACTGGGGATTAGAGTAACAAGTGGACTGCTTATGAACACTAGGAACAGGCAGGATTCTAAAAATGGTGATTGATTTCTGAGTACCAGTAGAGTGCCCCACAAGACAACTGGTTGTTATAATTAATTGTGACCCACTCCCTTAGGATGTATGTCTACATGATAAAAGCCTGAGCTCAGAGCTAATTGATAACAATGGTGGTGATGATGATGACGCTGATGTTGTTGAGATGATGATTATGATGATGATGATGATGATGATGGTGAGGTGGTAGTGGTGGTAATGGTGATGATGCTGATGATGATGATTATAAAGAGGTAGGTCGATTCTCAATTTCCTTCGTCTACCAACCCTAATTATTCTTGAATTAGGGTTGGGAAACAAAGGAAATTAAGAATCAACCTAGGTTAACTCAAAATTAACCTGAAATCAAACTTGACCTGTGACATATATACATGGTACATGTTGTGATTCAACTTGATCATTCCTTAAATTTATTGCTCTGTGCTTTTTGGTATGGCTATGTACAATACTAAGTGTGAAATATTTAATGCTGGGATCATATCAAACATTTAAAATCGTATACTGTAGTCAACTTTCTAGAGCAAAGAGAGATCTAATTAACTCAAAAATATGATCAATCGATATTTTAAGTAGAAACAAGTTTAGTGTATTAATTAAGTTCAGAGTAAACACTCAATCTCAAATCATATATAATCAGTTGATCACTCATCACCTTAACCCTTTAAGCCCCAATATCCATGTGCAAATTCTCCAAACTGATCTCCATACATTTCCTTTAAGAATAAGTTGAGAGAATTTGATAAAAGATCAAGGCATTTTTTCTCTTTGGTGATCATTTTATTAGTTCTCATAAATTTATCTATTGCCAATGTATGGATAAAATTGTTGTTGGTCACTATTGGGACTTAAAGGCTTAATAGCTGATTCTCCAATTTGTAATCAATGACTAATCAATACCCCACAAAATGTTAAGTAGTTCATCAATCATAGATATATCATAAGCCTTGTCAAATTGGCCAAAACAAAAAATAATACACCCCCCTCCCTCCAGCATTTTGATTAGGAAAGTAAAATACAGGCAATGTTTTGTTTATTATGGTGCAGAGAAACATGTTTGAAATAGAAAACTTCATGTAAAGCAAAATGTATAAAGGGTCATAGATCTTTGTATCTCAGGTGCAAAGAAAGTCTTGACAATGTTAATGCTCACTGGGAACTTGCTTAAAATTTACCTTGGTTCGAATATTATTTTCCTTAACCCAGGAAATAGCTACATAAAAGGGGTTCAAAAGAAAAGTAAATAATTAACCAAGGGTAAAATTGGAACAATAACATCCATTTTGTGTCAAGATGGTATGACACAAGGTGTAGTGTCAGCTTCAAGTTTTAAAAAATGAGAGCAAGTGTTTCGACTTTGATTATGATGGTAATGGTAGTGGTGATGATAATCTTATGATGAAAATTATTTTGAAGATGATAAATATAAAGAGAAAGAGAAACAATCCATTATAAAATGGATAAACTTAAAGTTGGTGATGATGATGACGTAGATCGAGCTGGCTACTTCAAAAAGTAAAGGACATTAATATTAAATTTAATACTGTACATAAGTATTGAAAATGTCCTTCATTGAACTTGGAAATAAGGAATTTCACTGGAGCAATGGCTTATCAATATTGTTAGAGACACTTTCAAGACACATCTTTTTCGGAAAAATGGTCGGCGATGTTTGAGGGAAGAATTTATGGTGGCTTTAGCGGTCAAGAAGTACTTTTGGTGACAAATTTCCTCAGAAGGAAAATGAAGCAGATTTTCAGCGACAACAGACCATGGTCACACGCCACAGTCACACCATCGCCGAACATGGTCAAACATGGTTGGCAATCAAAAACCATGATACCATATTGCATGGTCAAACTGTTGCCGGAATAATAGAGAGGGAGGGTTTAATAGATCTAGAGGATTTACGATGTTGGAAGAAATGGAGGGTCACTGTAGGCATTCAGGACCAGGAATCAGTTTAATGACCCTTTTACACAAGAGGTACATTAGCTTGAATTTTGTTTAAAAAAAATTACTCTACTTAGCTATAACCTCTGACAGTATGATCAGGAAAAGATATTTAAACTATCTAGATAAATAAATAACAGACCGCAAATTTATATAAAGATTTCTCTTTTTTAGGCATTGTATAAAAACCTACCTATCTTTTTGTTGTTATCCTTTTTCCCTTTTTGTTGGAGTACTTTCCAAGGAGGAACTACTTAAAATTTGAACTACCTCCTCAACATCCTGTTGTCAGAGAGAAATACTTCAATTCAAGATACTGAAGTAAAACCCTGTACAACAATGTAATAACTTTTAATGAGTGATGTACATTTACATCCTACCTCTACATCATCATGCCACCTGACTTCAGGTAAATCAGAATCAGAATCTGAGCTATGAAAGAGCAAAAAAAAAAGTCTCATTGTAACAAACAGACCTGAATGCCACTGTTTAAAAACGTGAAAAGTTTGCCACTGA